CCCCTCCCCCAAAGGTTTGATGACGTCCTGCGCGTGGTGCCCCCTCCCCCTGAGACGCGCAAGGCCACCCTCGAGCTGGACGACTCAAAGCCCCAGGCCGGCCTGGGGGAGGTCTACGAGCAGGAGTTCGTGGCCAAGGTGGGGACACACCTATCAAACTGCTTACAGCCGCCCGTGCAGTGCCTCACAAAGGTCCATTGCACGCAGCAGGCAGGAGGGGCTGGCCCGCGCACATGGGGTTGCGGCAGGGGCTACGGCTACGCCCCCTGTCTCAAGGTTGCCCGCTCACATTCCCCATGCCCTAGGCAAATTCGAGCGGCAATGCCTGCCCGGCAAGAACCTGCCTTGTGGTTTCCTTAGTATCCTGCTGCTCACCAAGTACCCGCCCCAAAATCGACCGAGCCACGCAACCCCCCCGCTACCCCCTCCCCCCCAGGCCACCGGCTTCGCTGCGCCGGACAAGCAGGAGCCGCTGCGCCGCGACGCGCGCGCGCTGTTCAAGGCGCTGGTGGCCAAGCTGGACGCCCTCAGCAGCTTCCACTTTGCGCCGCGCCCCGTGGTGGAGGAGCTGGAGGTGGGCTCAGGGGGCGCCGCAGCCGCGTGCCTGACTGGCTCTCGCCCGCACGCTGCCCGCTTTTTGGGGCGGGCGGCGGTCCTGGGCGTCGCGTGGGGGAGGCGGGTGCAGGCGGGTGCAGCCGGAAGGCGAATGGGGATCCAGATCGGGCAGCGCCAGGCGACCTTGCATTGCCCAGAACTCAAGCATCTGTTTTTGGGGCCCCCAACCAATGAACCATCCGTCCTCTGGGCCTTCCTCGCCGTTCTGGCCGAGCGGTCGCGCGCACACCTCCTAAACCCGCTGCCCGGCTCCCCACACCGGGGGGTACGAAATCCTCCTGCATAGTCGCCCCTCTCCCTCTCCCGCACCGACGCTCCTTCTACGCATATGAGCCAGCGCCCATCTCCTGCACGCACGCCACGCCACCCTCGCTCACCCCCCACCCCAACCCTTCCTGGCCCGCGGCAGGTCCGGAGTGACGTGGCGGCCATCGCGATGGAGGAGGTCGCGCCCATGGCCGTCAGCGCCGCCAGCATGCGCACCGCCGCGGAGGCGTTTGCGCCGGAGGCCAAGGGCGAGGCAAAGGCGGACGGCGAGCTTACGAGGTGGGGCGCCCAGCCTGCCAGGCTGTAGCCCATCTTGCCAGCAGTATGTCTTTGTCACAACGGGTTCGATAATCAGAATCGGCCCATGTCAAGGGCAGTGGCTTTGGACGTGGTCGGGCAGCTGTATACGCAGTTAAGCGGACTGTCGCAGGAAAGCCGATGGCAAGCTTGTGCGCGGACTGCAGCCCCTTGAAGTTGCGTGTGCAATCGGGCTGACCACGCGCCCGTCCGCCACCCCCTCTCCGCGCAGGGAGGACCGCAAGCGGCGGCGGGCCAAGAGCAAGCGCCAGCACTCGGCCAAGGAGAAGGCCAAGGTGGCGGAGCGCGCGGCGCGGGCGGCGTCGGAGGGCGGCGACGCGACGATCACCGGCCGCAAGTCGCTGTCGCAGCAACTGGACGCCGCCGCCAACGCCGGCCTCATCACGCGCGGCGGCGGCGTGGGGGGCGGGGCCGGCGGGAAGAAGGGCAAGGGCGGGGCAGCGGCGGGGGCGGGCGCGGGCGCGGGCGTCAAGTTTGGGCGGTCCGCGGCGGCGTTTGGCGCGATCCAGGAGGCGCGGGACGGGGGGAGCGGCGGCGGCAAGAAGGGCGCGGGCGCGGGGCCGCCCCGCAAGTCGGCGGCGGCGCTCAAGCTTTGATGGGGTGGCGGGTGCGCGGGTGCTGCTGCACATACATTTTCATTGGTTTCGGCATGGTGATGGTGTGGGCTCAATGTTGGCAGCAGCTTTTCAGCTTTGCAGGAGGTTAGCAGGCGCGTGTGTGCGCGTGCCATGTAAGCTGAGCACACACTCTTGCTGAGGGTAGGCATGATAAGGGAAGAGGCCGTTCCCAAGAAGGATCGTCGCCCCATCAGCGCACCCCAAGTGATTGCGGAGCTGTGAGCATGGTGCTGTGTTTGCAGTCAATCGCAGCGGGATCGGCCGAGAGATTTTGCAGGCCCCTGACCGCTGCATGCACAAAAACGCGCAGTAAGATCGCCAAGTTGTGTGCGCACCACCTTGCTGTAGCCAAAACAGGCCGTCGGTGAGCGTAGCCCGAGGGACCGGCCACCACCGACGCACCAGCAGCTGCTCAGGGTGAGACGGTGAGACAGCAAGTGATGCGTTAATAGTTGAAACTTAGAGCTGATGAAAGTTTTAGCGACAAAGCGGCAACCTCAAATACCGTACCGTGGCCAGCGAGTGAGAAAGAACGACGTCCGACCCGGTAAGCCTGATCAGCGAATTCACGCGTTGATACTATGTCTTCAAGCATGCAGCACCGTGCTGGTACAGGCGCGCAGCAGGAGGAGCACGACACAGTGCGGGTGCGCGCCATTTGCCTGCCTGCACTGTTGATGGCCCCTTCGGCCCACTGACACCTGTGCTTTGCTGAGCGCAGGTGCAAGTGATAACAATCACACGGGCAGGCTGGAAATCGAGACAACAATGACATTGACCGTCGCGCTCGCCCTGTTGTTGGCAGCCGGGTGCACAAGTGAGTGCACCACTGCCGACACTCGCGCTCATTTACTAGCCTGGCCGCTGGTGGCACCCTGTCATCCCAAGATCCCCGTACGCAGCGAGTAAAACACGTCCTCAATGCAACTCAGCACGACGACCCACTCATCCGGGGCAATGGTACAGGGGCCGGCCGCTGCACCTCAGCCCTCCCCCCCACTCCCCGGCCATCCTGCGCCCCTGACGATCGACCTCCACCCCGCCCTCTCCCGAATTGCTCCCCTGCTCAACCCCAAGGCTTTGCTTCCGGGAAAGTGGTCGTCATCCCCCACAGGCCCAACTACGAGTTCATCAACGACGCCGACACCATACCCATCAACCCCGTCGCTGGGCAGCCGTTGTCGATCTTGGTCCGGATCCGCAACCGCGCTGACACCAATGTCATTTCGCCAGCCACCAACCTCACCATACTTGTTTACGGCTCCTCAGGCACAGGCACGACCCTGCCTTGCGGCGCAGTGGGCAATGTGACCGTCAAAATTCCCAAGATCAGGGGCGGCAAGGTCTACAAGAAGCTCTTCAAGGACCTCCTCACGGCGCCGCTGCTGACGGCGCCGGCGACGCGGGCGACGCGCAGCCTCCGCATGTTTGTGGACTCCAATTGTGCTGTGAACGAGACGCGGGAGGACGACAACCAGAGGACGGTATCTTTTGTGGTGACCGCCGTGCCGACACCTGATTTGAGGGTCCGCTTTGCCTGGGCGGCCGGCGCCGGCCCGCGCGGCGTACTGTTCAATAAGACATTCACTTTCAAGGTGGGGTGGGCTTGAGGGTTGCAACAGATGAACGATCACTGCATACAGTACATTGCAACGGCTGCAAGGCAGGCCAGCGGTGTGGCAGAGGGCGCAAGGGGGCAACATGTCAAGGCATCGGCCGCCGCCGGCACGCCCAGCCCTGGACACAGCCATGAGATTTCAGAGGTTGCCTTCTAGCCAGCTGGCTGCAGCACACTGCGCCTGGATTGGCCTCCAAGTGCATGCGTGCGCAATCTAACACAGCAGACTCTCATCTCACTGAACACAGCATGATCAAATCGATCACCCTTCCTGCTGCGAGAACAGGCAAAGCCACCACAGGCTCATCCCAACGGGCCCCTCCACACAGGTGGTGGTGTACAACGGCGGAAGCCTTGAAGCCAAGATTGGCACAGTCAGGGCCTGGGCAAATCGCGCTAGCACCCCTGGCTGCGCGCAGATTGCAGATCTGATCATCCTGTCAGACACAGTTTTGAAGCCTGGCAAGAACAAGACACTTACACTGAAAGATCTGAAGCCGCCCACGACTCTGGGATGGGCAACCCTCAAAGTCCTGGTTGATGCAGGTGAACAAGGGAGGGCTTGCATAGGGGGGTGACAATTGGCTGGCTTTGCGAGGCAGTGATGCTTGATAGCGACAAGGCAGCTGTGGCGCTGACAACCCAGGAGCGGGAGAGAAGTGACTGCCGACGCTGATGATTTCAATTGTTCTCAACAAATTCCTCCATCTTTCATAAGTGCTTTGTCCCCGTGCCCTTGCAAGTCTTGCTTGCACCCTCGGGCGATACATCTCATCCCCCCCCCAAAAAAACTTCATATCAACAACCCACCCCTCGGCCCTCCACCCAATTACGCACCATCCCGCCCCACAGAGTGCGCCACCCAGGAGATCAGCGAGAGCAACCAAGTCGCCAGCCACCAGTACAGGGTGGTCAGCGAGCCCCTCCCAGAGTTCCAGCTCATCAATCACGCCCTGATCGGCGGCCTGCAGCCCAGCAACAGGGTAGACTTTGTGCTGTACTTCATCAACTCGGGCATGCTGCCGGGCGTCATCAACACGGTCTCGCTCCTGCAGAACTCCAAGGGCGTCCAGACGCCGCTGTCGTGCGCGAGCGCGGCGGCGCCGGGCGCGGGCTGGGTGTCGCTGCCGCCATTCACGAAGAAGCTGCGGGTCGGGGGCATCCTGAAGGTCACGTTTTTGAACGTCACGCTGCCATCAACAGAGGACGCGTCGTACAACACCCTCGTGATCCCCGACAGCGGCTGCCTGACGCCCGAGCTGAGCGAGGGCTTCCTGAGCCAGCGCGGCTCCAGCGACACGGTGGACGCGTTCAAGATCTCGTACACTGTGAACGAGGGCGACCCCTGATGTGACCTGTGCTGATCAGACATACACGTACCGTTGCCGATGTGGGTGTTGCGCGCCGTGCGATCCAACACTTGGCCCTCAGAGTCAAAGGCCGATGGATGCGGCGCAGTTCTTCAAGGCATGCGGGTGCATCATTGTGTTGCCGCTGCCGTTAACGTTGAGCAAAGGCCAGAGCGTGCTCGAGTTCGGATGGCATTGCTGTGGCATTGCACTTGCGCACGCCCCGATTGCTTGCCTGGTGTGCGACGGCGTGACTGGTCAACAAGTTTGAGCAAGCTTGCTCAAACTTAAGTGCGTTGGGTTGTCAGTGTATTTTGGGTGTTGCACTTTGCAATGTTGGCTGCAATATTTTCGTGGGCGCCTGCCAGCAGTGCTCAACCCCGGTTGAAAATAAGACTCAGCCTATGTGGCCCGCGCTCATTGGCTCCTTGCACATGCAAGCACATCCTGCCTGCTCCTGTCACCCGCCACTAGACCCCTCACAAACTTGTCCCCAGTGCACCGCATGAGCACGCATGACTCGCTGCTGCTGCACTCCAAGCAAGACTGTCCCTCTTGAGCACGTTATTGCACACAATTTGGTCAGTCGCTTGCTGCGTGCACTTCTTGCTGCCCCTGATCTCTGTGATGTTGCCTGATGCTTGCAGGGCTTGCAGCGCTGGCATTGCCAGCGCGCCGCTTTCTGACCCTTTGCCCTGCGGATGCTTGGTACCGTAGCCCGATGCACAACCCTCCACTTTAATGAGCTGAGCAAAGTCCAAAAATCAAGTTTGCCAAGCAAAGGCCACGTTTGTGCAGGGTGACTTTAGCCATCCACATTCTGCATTTCCAGCTCAATTCAGCCTTCACTATGCCGACTTGCAAGGGGTGATTGTGCACAATTCAGCGCAGGTGCAGCCGGAACACACAGCATCAGCTTATATCAGGCCTCCATTACCAGCGTAAAGGGCCCTTGCATGGGACACCTGCAGAAGCGCCGGCCTGTGTCCTCCGACTTGCTGCATGCTACGTGCTCGCCGCATGAGCGCCGCACACAATCCTTGATGGCTTGTCATGGCAGCGTACAGCCTTGTCCAGTGGACCCTGCCGCGTGTCAACGAGTATATCGCATTGCTTTCCGCTGTCAAGATAGCAATCAAAGGAAGCCACACAAGCAACGCCCTTGGCGCCTGCAGCAACATTGTGCTGCACGCACAGCCGTGGGCGTTGTGGGAGTGCAGCGGCGTCCACGCCGCCGCTGTGGCCCTGACCCTGCCTGACATACTGCCCCAATACCTGGGCATCACCGTATTTGCGCACCAGCGCAATTGCAGGAGATGCGGCGAGCCGTCATACAAAGTGTGCTGCCGCTCCGCAGTCGAAGAGTCGAGCGGGGCACTGATCACTGGTGTGAGTGATCTCCACCTCCTGCAGCACAGGTCTGGACCAGCCAGCTGCGGCTCCCTGGGTATGGAAGTTATTTTCTAATAATCGCGCAGCTCAAATTGTGGCTGCACGGGCCCCTAGTATGTATCTCAGCCGCGACCACGTCAGACCACGTCAAAAGAATGAGACAAACCGCCAGTGCTCAACGGTCCCCGGGGGGCTTCGAGTTGAGCTGTGATCGATATTACGCGTCATATACATTGCAGCCAACGCTCTTTGACGGGATGACACGGACCAGGGTGTGCACACCGGCCCTTCACCCGCTGCGCCGCCGCAGGTGTATGTGCAGGGCCCGCTGCAGTCTGGCTGAGCAGGAGGTCTCCCACATCAGAGCGCCGCTGCCGGCTCACCAGAGCGGCGCCGCTTCAAGGTGACGTGGCAGCCTGACACCTTGTGCAATACGCTTGCGCCGCTGGGCGCCCCCAGTGGTCCATTGCATCCGCCTTCAGAGTCAATCAGCCGAAGCCCGTAGGTGGGCCCTGTCTGGAAACCTGCATGCGTCGCAAAAATGTAGATTGTGAGATAGCGGTGCGAGCTGGGGCTGCGGCGTAGCTTTGGTCCATTAGCCCTTACAACGGATCGAGTGAGCCAAGGCCCATAAGCCCCCGTCTGTCATCACCTTCTGCAAATTACGCCAAGTGGCTTGTGGTCAAACAACAGTGTGTCCGGGCTCCCTGCGCTGCGCAGGCCGGCAAACCAGCAGCCCAGATGAGCCAGGTAGCTGCATGCATCGGCCCCTGTCGGCGGGCGTCACCAGAGTCTTTTATCAAAGCCAACGGGCCCGTGGCGTCACGGAAGCCGCGCGCCTGGCAGGCGCCTGCGTCCAGCGAGGCGGTCCAGCACGCAGCCGGCCTCTACGTAGAGCCCACTGCGCTCAACAGCGCTGGCACTGACCCCCGTCGTGCCGCGCGTGGCACCCACCATGGCGTCTGCCCGCGCCGCAGCCTGAGCGGCCAGCGGGCTAGCGTTCGCGACAGACGGCGGGCGAGCCGGGGCCCTTACTTGCAACCTTCAAGATTACAGCCGCAGCTGGCAGGCGCAGCAGGGCACGGGCGCGCAGGATCAAGACCACGCTGTCGGTGATCGCCTCGTACTTGAGGCTGGCTGCTACCTCCTGCATGCGCGACAGATAGATATACCCAGCTTGGCGAACCGCTTCTGCCACGCCGCTTTGCGATAAGAACTACATCCAGGTCAGGATTCAAATCAGGGTTGGGGTCGTGGCATGTCCTGCTGTTGGGCCTCGGCAACCACATGCCCTTCTTTGAGGGAATACGGGCTGCGGGGTGGCGCGCGCGTTGTTTTGGCGGACAGACGCAAGCGCCCTTCATGCCGTTGGTGGAGTGGGACGGGTTTGGTTCCCGTTGGTGAGTGCTTGGTTATGTACTACGCCCTCCTCATTCAGTGTATGAGGTCGCGCCTCGTTACGTGCAGGTGCAGCCCAAACACACGGCACCAGCTTGTTCATCAGCCGTTATGGCCAATGTACAAGGACCTCGAATGGCACCCCCGCAGAAGCGCTGGCCCGTGTCTTTCAACTTGCTGCATGCCACGTCCTCGTAGAGCATACATGTACACGCGCCGCACACAATCCTCGATGGCTTGCGATGGTGGTGTGCAGCGTTGTCCAGTAAGCCCTGCCACTCATCATTCAGTATTGCAAATTGCTGTCCGCTGTCAAGATGACAATCCAAACAAGCCACACAAGCAACGCTCTTGGCCCCAGCAGCAAGCATCGCGCTGCACACATGCGCGAGCGTTGCTTGCAGGCAGTGGGGTGCGCCACGGCGTCCATACTGCGGGGTGCGCCACGGCGTCCACACTGTGCCTTGGACCCTGCCTGACGCTGTCCCAATACTTGGCCATCAAGCTATCTTTGTACCAGCACAAGCGTAGGAGAGGCGGTGAGTCGTCATACTATACAACGTGTTCTGTCGATCCGCGCTTGGTAAGTCAAGCGGTGCACAGTAAGGTCAAACCTCAGAGCTCCACCTCCTGCAGCATGGGTCTAGACCAGCAAGCTGCGGCTCTCTGGGTGTATAGAATTATTTTTAATGATTTTGTCGCCCCAAAGATGGCTGCCCAGGCCCCTAGTATATATCTCAGCCGCGACCACGTCAGACCACGCCAAAAGAATGAGACAAACCGCCAGTGCTCAACAGTCCCCCGGGGGCTTCGAGTTGAGCTGTGATCGATATCACGCGTCACATACATTGCATCCAACGCTCTCTGACGGGATGGCACGGACCAGGGTGTGCACACCGGCCCTTCACCCGCTGCGCCGCCGCAGGGGTATGTGCAGGGCCCGCTGCAGTCTGGCTGAGCAGGAGGTCTCCCACATCAGAGCGCCGCTGCCGGCTCACCAGAGCGGCGCCGCTTCAAGGTGACGTGGCCGCCTGGCACCTTGTGCAATATGCGCGCGCCGCTGGGTTTGAGTGTGGTTCCTTTCACCCCCCCCTGTGTGTCAATCAGCCGAAGCCCTTAGGTGGACAGGGCCCTATCTAGAACCTGTATGTGTCGCAAAATATAGACTGTGAGATAGCGGTGCGAGCTGGGGCTGCGGCGCAGCTTTGGTCCATTAGCCCTTACAACGGATCGAGTGAGCCAATGTCCATAAGCCCCCGTCTGTCATCACCTTTTGCAAACCACGCCAAGTGGCTTGCCGTCACACCACAGTATCTTTGGTCTCCTTGCCTGGGACCCCAGCACCCGAGTTGATGCAGGTCACTGCAAGCACTGGTCCCTGATGAAGCCGCCCCACCAGCAGTGGGGTGCTAGTGAGAGCCTTCCGTCAAAACAGAGGCGGAAGCGTAGAGGCGCCATGGCTTCAGGCGCCTGCGGCCTGAAAGTCTAGCATCATGCTAGACTTTCATGTTGCATGATGCATCTCAGCCTCACGCCCGCCGTACTCATCATTGCTGCCGTTGAAAGTTGCTCTGCCACATTGCCCGCCAGCAACGAACGCAGTCTGGGCGGCCAACTTTTCCTTGAAAACCTTGCAACCTGCGTCGTACTATTGTGTATTTGCGAGCACACATAGCAGCCCGCAGTCTTCTCCATCTATCACAGCCATCATTGAGTACCACGAGGCCCCTGCTTGTCAGTCAGCCTGTCCCTCCTGACCACCGTGCAGCGCAAAGCGGCAGCACAACCGCAGTGTCAAATTGTTGGGACCTATCCTCCCGGACTGCAGTCCACCATGCCGCTTCCCCACCAGCATGACCATGACCTCGGTGCATTGTTGTCTGCTAAAAAGATTACCACAAGAAGCAGCTACATATGGGCATGTTAAGTGCAAGTGCTTGCAAATACATGGCCGCATCACTGAATCCGCAGCAACTCCACATCAAACAGCAGGGTTTTGTCAATCATGCCCCTGTTGGACAGCACAAAGTCCAGCGCGCGCTCCCCCTGCAACCAACGAGGGAATTGGTTTGAGGGGTGTGAATGATGCTGACAATTGTGACCACAAGGCGTCACGCAATGCCATGGAGCTTGGCACCGCCGCACCGCAGTGCAAGGTGGCCCAGGGCGATCCTGCACGCACCAGGCATGCAAGTTTGGACTAATTTTGAAAGCCTCCTCACCGCAAACGTGGAGGGCTTTGGGCCGAGCTTCTTGAAGTCGCCGTTGGGGTAGCCCAGCTCGACCGGCACGATGATGCGCCGGATGCCGCCGACCTGCGCGTGCGCATGCGGCACGTCGTCAACACAATTATGACGCCCAAACACATGTTTGCACAGGAAAAGTTGTGAGTTTTCAAGAGGTGGAGGGGTGCGAGCACGCTGGCAGGGTAGCGGGGTGCGGGTCGACAACCCCATGCGCTTTGAAGCATGGTGCCCCACGTGGCCGCACCTTCATGCCCTCCACCGCCTCCTCAAACCCCGGGATGACACGGGCAGACCCCAGCTCGAACCGATAGAAATCCTGAGCGAGCCAAGAGGCCGATGGTGTCAACGTGTCGGGAAACAGCGAGGTGTGTCAAAGTGCGCGGCCCACACAATCGTGTTAGCGGCCAGGCGGCAGGCAGCAATGGCTCCACGGCCGAAAGCCACCGAAGCGCAGGGACCTGGCAATACTTGCGTTCAGCGGTGGCCCTGGTACAAGCACACCTTATTGTCGCCAGTAAAGCTGCTGCCCTTTGGCTTGTTGCGCGCCTCAAATGGCCGCCCATAGTAGCCTGTCGGATGTGTGCAGACGAGTTGGCTTTGGGGGGTGAAAACAGAGACAGGAGCAGCCGTTGTGTCCCGCGGGTGCGAGCAGATGTGTGGACGTCCACTTGCTACAAGCCTGCTGGAGCAAGTACGTCTGCGGAACGCTTGGCTTGCCAGCCGCCCCTGCTACCACCTCCTCCCCACATGTGACCAGCCCCACAAAAATCCTCACTCCTGACCTCACTCACATGCGCACACACACACACACACACACACACACACACACACACACACACACACACACACACACACACACACACACACAAACGCACACACACACCACACG